CACTGGCGGTCACCGAGGGGAATCATTTTTGGTTCTTGGCTAACAGCAGAGGTGGAGTAGGCATTTGCTCTCCAGGTTCCAAGTCCAAACTCTTGACTGACTTGCTCCCCATGCAGGACCCCCTTCTGGCTTGCACCCGGCTGGGCCTGTTTGCAGAGAACAGGCTGGCGGGGGGACTGGAAGGGGCCGCCTCTGGGAGCTTGGGAGCGTGGGGCTGGACGAAGCTTCGTGTTGGACTTCCCCGGCTTAAGCCGGGCCACTGCTGCTGTCAGCCTCACGGGAGAACGAGGGCCTAACCTCCAGGGCCCTCTCCCCTGCCCGTGCCCCCCTGCCCTCAGGCCCAGGCTCTGGCCGCAGGCAAGGTGGACGACAGGTGAGTCCTACCTGGCATGCTAGGGGGAGAGGGTGCTGGAGGCCAGGAGGAGAGAGGTCCCCGCAGGAGACGGAGCGCCCTGAAGCCTGACCATTGTCCGCGTCCCTCAGGATGCAGGCCCGCCGGCCAAGCGCAGGGCTCCTGAAGCAGGGAGCTGACGTCCAGTCTCTCAATACCTTGTTCACCGGTCTGTCTCCTTTCTCAGTAGAAGAACTTGCATGTAGGACATTTCCTTTCTCCAACACGAAGCAGCACTGGGCCGTGGGGCCAGCCGAGGCCTGGCGTCGGCCGACTCACTGAGGCCTGGCGCGGGCTTCCCCCGCCTTTGGTTCTGGATTGGGGCTCCAGCTTCTGAACCCGAGCCGGCAGTCCTTCTGGATGACTCAACAGAGCTAGAGTCTCATGAGACTGAATTCCTTACTTGTGCTAGGAGGCCCGGCTTTCCCTCTCCCTCCTGGGCTCCTGATGAGTCCTGAGCCAGTGGTTCAGAATAAGGGCTGAAGCTGGGGCCCCTGACTTAAGCCTGAAGATCACGGTGGCTCATCCCTACACCTGGGCCAGGACACCACCTGCCGCGTGTGTTCCAGGAGGGCGTGTGGCTCCTGGGTCCCCCAGACAGGCACATATTCTCTGAGCCCGGTCCTCTCTGAGTTAATGCTGTGACTCAGCTGCAGTCCGGTCTCAGCAACCCTCAGCCTGGGAGACTCCCTGTCTCCCAGCTCCCCACACCTCCCCTGCCTGGCATTTGCACCTGGACTGGAAGCTGCTAAGCTTTCTGTGCTGGGTGCTGGTGCTCCGCAGCCTGTCCAGACACCGGGCTGGAGGCACACACGTGCAGCTGACCCCAAGCTCAGGGTGCTGTGTACCTGGGAGGGACTCAGTGGATTCTGGGGGTGCTGTGGGGAGGGGCCTCAGGCTCATAATCTGCAAGATGTGGATAACAGCAGAAGGTTTGAGGATTAAATGACTGAACACACATAAGGAATTTAGCTCCAGTAAGTTCTCAAGGATCAAGATCATTATGAGCGCCTGCCTCAGGCTCTGCTCTCGCCCTCCCCACAGTGACAAAGCAGACAACATGGAGACAGCAACAGTCATCTCAGGCCGAGTGCTTGTGGCCCCACAAGGCTGAGCCCACCGAGGGGCCGGGACTCCACGCACAGTCAGCCAAGGTGGCCTCCAGCGGAGCCGTCAGAGGACGGTTCCAGCCCCAGCTCAGGCAGAGCTGCCTGCCCCCACCTGATGCCCCACCTCAGATGAGCCTGCCTTCCCCATGGGCCCGCTTCTCCCACCCTCTTGGTCGGGGTACCGTGGGTGAACCAGAGGCTGTGGATCACTTCCCAGAGGTGTTGGCCAAAGCTGGGAGTCAGCCAACAGCATTATTTACAAAGGATTCATCCAGCGGGTGAGTGTCTGCCATACGCCAGGCACGTGGGCTACCCCTGGGAAGCTTCTTCTGGGGCCTTCCTATTGGAGGCTCCTCTGAGGCGTTGGGTGCATGGCCTTGGGTGGCACGAAGGTGGCCTGCAGAGGGAACCCAGGTTCATATCTTAAGATCAGAAGAGAGAAGTCTAAGAAGCTCCCACCTGCTCCCTTCCATGTGAGGGGGTCCTCACCCCTCAGGGCTGACATGTCTCTGCCGAGGTCCCTTCTGCCCTGCTCCTGTATCCCTTGGGGCTCTGTGCCATGACTCTGGTGTGATGCCAAGAGGGCACAGGTGGCCCTCCACACAGATGCCCATCTCCCCCAAGCAGCCTGGCATCTGTGTGAAGGTGGCCGAGGCTCTGGGCCATGTGGGCCTACTCGCCCTTCCTGCCTCCCATCCAGCCTGGGTCCTTGGTGTCCTGCTGCAGGCCCCTGAGCATGCTCTTCCCTTCGGTGCGACACCTTTCCCTCCCTGCTCTGCATAGCAAACTCCTCTAGGCATCCTGGATGGGCGGCAGTGCCTGCCGCCTCTGCCCTCAGAGGGCTGGGCAGTGCTTTCCTGTGGGTCTCAGCTGCCGCCTCTCTTAGTCTCCCCCGTTCTGCAGCCCCCAATTCCTCTACTCTCAGCAGAGTTCGCCTGAGAGAAGCTGCAGGGCTGGAGGAGGAAGCTGCGGCTCTTCCTGACAGAGCTACGGATACAGGACTGCCCCTGGTGCTAGCTCTACCGAACCTTTGTTGGCATGCTTGATGTGGGACGTGGTGCCTCTTGCCAAAGCCAGCGTCCAGCCAGGAGCCACATCTTGCTTCTTGGCTTGTACCTGCTGTGCCCCTGGGGGTGACTCTGTCCATGTGCCTGGCAGAGCAAGGCCAGGAGTCTGTGCACGGTGTGGCTTGTGGCCAGGAAGCTATCTGAGCTCCTTCGGCCATCAGGAGCTCTGAGCCCCTATGGGGCATTAAGCTCTACCATAGCCCTGTACTATAATTAGGGCTAAGTGGGTATAGGTGCCCACCCACCCACATTCAGCATCAAGCCAGGACACACATATCTGCTATGCTCTGGCTTCCCAGGACCTGTGAACATGTCCTGTGCTGGGTCCACCTACTCTGAGCCCCATTCCCCCAGAGAGAGCCAGACCTTCATTTTCCCTGCCTCCTTGTAGCTGGGCTCTGCCTATGACCTGCTCCACTGCTGGCAACTAAGAACCGGAGTGGATGGTGGCATAGCCCAGATGAGATACCTCGCCCTGGGCAGGCTCCTAGAACGCAGGGTGCGTCAGAGCAAGTGACTCTCACAGGCACGGAGGAAAAAGCCACCCATTGTATTCAGGCAATTACAATTACCCATCGCAATGTGGAGCCTCCAGAGTTGGCAGCTGGTTGTGGAGACTTGCAGGGAGGCCCTGTCTGATCCGTTTATGCGCTGCTCTGTCCTCCTGCAGTGAGCTGTCCCGTCACGTAAGCTGGCTCAGTGTCGGAGGGCCTGAGGTTGAGTCTGTTACACACTGTTCAGCTGATACCTTAGGCAAGTCACTGCATCCTCTGGGCCTCTTACCCTTGCCTTGGAGGGAGGAGGTGAGACCAGCAGCACATGTGGAAGAACTCTGAAGATGGTCAAGCACCACCTGCACCTTCACTTCATTTTCTTTGAGTGCATTTCATAGACTGCAGTGTCAGCATACGAAAGCTTCTGCTGAATGGGTGAACATACGTGTCAGTGGAGGAGCCTGTGGGCGATACGGTGGATGGCAGGAAATGCTTTATTACAAATACAGCAAGAACAAGGTCATTGCCACTCTGGCACACCTCTAATCAGCTACTGAGCTAGGAGCTCATACCTCCTGTCATTTACCCCTGTGAGAACATGACTATCATTTTACAGATGAGGAAACAGGCCCAGCGGTGTCTGGTCATTCGCCCGAGGTTGCACAGCTGGTATCAAGCTGGGACTGTCCTCCACACGCCATCCTTGTCCACGGTTGCAAGCCTCCCATCCCTGTGCACAGCATTTCCCAACCGTCTGGCCTGTGTCACCCACCCACTCACCACTACATAATAACGCCATTTCCATCTGTCGCTTCAGTGCTCCTGTAACCCCTGGCTCAGGGCCACCACCTGACTCGGCAGGTATGGCAAGTCAAGGATGCTAGTCCCTGATGGCTGCCTCCTAGAAGGCTGTTTCCATGATTGCTGGTGCAGGGAGTGAGGGCTTTCCCGCACTCTGAACCCGTCTGTCTCCTTAGCCCCTGTGAGTTTCCGCAGTGGGTCCACCCCACTGATCTCGTGCTGCCACCTCGGCCACCCCTGGAGGAGGGCCACATGGAAAGCGCCCCTCTGCCAGCACCAAGGAGCAGGCCGCTGCCACCACGTGTCCGCACAGGAACACACACCCAAGAACCTCCTCTACATGGTGTGGCCTGAGATTTGAGCCCAGAAGCTGCCTGAATGGAAAATACTTTCCCATGTAGCAGCTGGGATGTCCCTGACATACAAGGAGCAAGTCTAGGTGTTTTAGATACTAAGTTGGCCATGCTGGGGAGCTGAACAGCAGCAAAGAATTGGAGTGCTTTCAGCTGGAAAGCCAGTGTTTGGGTCCTCTTCTCAGTGCACTCCAACCGCTGTGCACATGGAGAGGATGGTACTGTGGGGCAGGATGGGGCCTCATCTGTGGGGACATGCCAGGCCTACTGATGCTCAGAGGGATGAGAAGCCCCAGGACTTTCAAGAGATCTAGGTCTGCCCTGTTTTCGTTCTCCCTGCAGGCTGCTTTGAGGAGTTTAATTTAACAGAAAGGCAAACTAACAGCTCTGGATCAAGGCATAGCATCGGGGGTCGCTGCGGGGGAAGGTGCAGGTGGCAGGGCCTGGGAGAGGTCTGAGTTTGAGCTCAGCTGGTTAGCGCCTGGCTGGGAGCTGGGGTCCCTGTGAGCCTGGGCCCACACGGCTACCCCCTCGACAGGGGCAGGGAGCCTTGGTGAGACGTTTCTCTTTAGAAGCAGCAGCTGGCAACTTGTCCGTGAATGTTCACGGCAGCCAATGCGGGAACTCCAGGCCGCTCCTCCGTGAGGGGCTGACCCGCCCCAGGGGGCACCACTCAGCAGCAAGGGGGGAGGACCCTGACACGCTGTAGCACCATGAGCCTCAGAAATGTGATGCTGACTGGGAGAGGCAGACACAAAAGACCACATGCTGTACATGTCCGTGTAGATGATGTTTCTAGAAGAAGCAAACCTTAGATATGGGAGGCAGACCAGTGGTTGCCTGGAGCATGGAGTGGACATGGACGCCACAGACAGGCCCAGAGCCTTGTGGAGAGGCGGGAATGTTCCAAAACTGGATCGTGGAGGTGACTGCACAATTCTGTGAATTTACTAAAAGTCGTGAAACTGTACACTTAACAAGGGCGAATTTTATGTATACATCTATACATCCTGGAAGTCTTTCACGTTTGGCAGGTCTGTCCCTCCACCTCCTCCTCACAGGGAGACAGGGCTGAGCACGCCTGCCTAACAGTGGTGTCTAAGTGTGGCTTCTGGGCCGCCTGCAGCAGCCCCTGGCAGCCTATAGAGATGCAAGTCTCAGGGTGGCCCAGCCATCAACCCTCCAGGCAGCAAGGACCCAGTCTGATGGTGGGGGAGCAGGAAGGCCATTTAGGTCGGGTGCCCACTGTGCGCAGCCACCTGACATGCCTGAGTTGCATCCTCACAGCACCTGTGTGATGTCAGTATTATTGGCCCCATACTGTAGACAAAAAAACAGGTTCAGAGAGGCTGAGAGGCTTGTCAGGTGGTAAGGTCACAGAGCTGGATCAAACACCCAAGTTTCTGATGTAAAATACACAGGCTTCACTACGGCCGGCCTTGCAGAAGTGACAACACTCACCGCCTGGAAGAGTCGGGAAGGAGACGCACTGAGCATAGCCCCTCAGGTCCTGCCCTGGAACCAAGCAAGGGCGTAAAGGAAGGAACGTATATACGGCCCTCAGCGAGGCCCGGTTTCCTCAAGGCTGAGGCAGCGGTCTTTGTTAAGATTATATTGTTTACTCCTAAGGGTGGAGGGGTGGGGAATTTAGAACTAGCTGCTTGGACAGAAGCCCAGGACATCCTGGCTCGGCTCCCTGGGGACGCAGAGAGCAGAACCCAGGGCTTCTGGCCAGAGCCCAAGAGCCTCTGGGGACCTGGGAGGGGCTGTGCTTTCCAGATGCCGGATGACATAATGTCTGCAGATGCCAGGCCTGCTCAGAGAGCCCTTCCAAGTGGCCATAGGCGCTGCCCTAGTGTGGCCTGCTGCTCCCGGGCTTGGCTTTGTCCTGGAGCTGCTCAGGAAACAGGCTGACCAGCTGGGACCCCCACTTAAACCCAGTGCTGCCAGAAGCCTGGCTTAATGCCACACCTTGGGTGCCCACATGGGGTCACTTCCTGTGGTCTCTTGACTGGTTGCTACTGTCTGTTTGCCTGCATGACCCTCCCACGCAAGGCTTACATCCCGTGCTTTTCCCACCATGATCCTCACTGACTGTCGTACCTGCTCAAACAGAGCTCTTCTAGCCAAACTATTCATATGGGCAGAGAGGAGAAGGGACCTGAAAGGCAGGGCCAACCCCAGAATTCGGAACCGCTGGCCATGGAGCTATTTCATGATAGTCATCGCTTACTAACTTCCATGGGTCCTTGACCCTCACCAACCCTGTGAGCTGGAGGGTTTATGGCTGCTTGATTCACAGAAGAGCAACTTAGGGCTTCCAGAGTTTAATGGCTTGTTCCCGATCATCCACCAGTAAGTGACAAGGCAGGTCCGCATGTCCAGATTTGTTGCCCCCAGTTTCTCACCCTGTGCTTCATTCGCCATGATGTGAGCATCACCCACAGTGCCCAGACCCTGGGGAGGGGCCAAAGGACCACATGAAGCACAGCCCCTGAGAATGGATCTCAGAGCAAAGAGTGGGTGTTCTCCCTGCCCAGTGCCTGGCCAGGGTCCACTCTGAGGCCTTCCCAGTCTGAGTCGGGCAGGTGAGTCTGCAGCTTGAGCAAGTGAGTCCAGGGCTGGAGACGCTGTGACCTGCCTTCCAGGGCCGTGGGCAGCCTGGGAACAGCCCTGAGGTCCTGCCCACTGTGCTCCTTCCCTTCAGTATTCTCTTGTTTTTTGCATGTTATAGATAACAAAACCCACAGCCTGTCACGGTAGCCTCCTCTCCTGAGACAGAGCTGGAACATGATACTGGAGGTGATGAATATTGCTTGATTGAACTTAATGAGGGCACACTGGGTGCGGGCACAGCTTGCATGCCATCTAACTGCCCACTGCTCAGAAGCAGCCAGGACCAGAGCCCAGAAGCAGCATCCCTTCGGAGAGCATGACTCCTGTGCTTTTCAGGAAGGATGCTGGGCAACCCGTGGGTCTCAGGAGTGGGACAGGCAGCTGCAGAACCTGGCTGCTGCATGGTGCTTCATGGGGTCTCAGCCAGGTTCTGTGTGGCAGGGGCTTTCTGCCTTACGTAAACTGCTAACCATGACTCTGGGCAGTGTTCTCCCCTGGGGACCCTGGAGAGCCAACCCAGGCTGCCCTGTCCTTCCCTGCAGGCTGGGTCCTGGACATGAGTGCCTATTGCCTGGGATTCCCCTCTGATACAGCGCTGATCACTGGCCGGGCTCTGAGGTGATATGTGCCAGGAGAGATGCCAGGAGATGGCAATTTCCCCACTGCCCAGCTTGAGCAGGGAGGCGCCTGTCCTGTCCTGTGGGGAACTCAGATGTGTGTTCCTGGCTGTGGCCTCAGACTCCCTGAGTTCATCTCCTCTGACTCACCTGACTCTTGCATATTTTTATTTTTTTAAAGTTATATTTATTTTATTGAGTAAATTTGATGTGTAACACTGTAAGTTTCAGATGGACATTGTATTACTTTGTTGCATTTATATATTGTAATATAATTGCTTATATAGTGGTATTAATCACATTACATCATTATAGTGCAATATTATTATCTGTATTCTTTATATTGTGCTTTTAGCTTGCCCCTTATGGTGGGCTTTTCAGGCCCAGAAAAGGTGCCGACCAAAGGCTATACCCCTTCTCTATCCAGAGAACACAGTCGCCCACTCCTGCTCAAGGAAGAGATGGAGTCAGGGCCCAGGCCTTCAAGGAAGGCAGAAGCTATTGTCACAATCAGAGAGGAGACCCGGGGGAGCCCCTTCATCATCGAGAGCAACCGAGGCACTGATGGCAGCAGAAGGCTTAGGTATCTGGGCTGGAGCTGTGCTCAAGGCTGATGGTAAAACATTGTGAATAAAGATGCTCTGAGCATGTCTGTGCTCATCTGTCCTCACACACATGCACCCATTTCTCGTAAGTATATGCCTAGCGAAGAATTGCAAGGTCATGGAGATGTCGGGTGATTAGGAACCTGGTGGTGCTGGCTCATGGTCTTTCCTGCTTTCTCAGCCACCATGGTATTGCATGTGTCTCCCCGGGAGGCTCAGCCAACCTTTGGTGTATTATGGCCAAGTCATTCACATCATGTACATTTCTTGAGTGCTAACTATGCATGTGGCACTTCGTATGCCGGTTATGTGAGGAATGAGGCATCCTCCCCAGGAGCCTACAGCAGCTCATAGGAGAGGCTATAAACATGATCATAATACAAGGAAGAAGGTGTTAGCCGGCCAAACTAAGGTTGGGATAAAGCACTGATTTATGATCGCCTCGTGAAGAGCACACAGCATTTTCACAAGGCAATCCGAAAAAGCTACATGGAGGAGACAGTGTTTGGGTTCAGCTCTGTATGAGAAAGGCAAGTTAAAAAATGTTCATATATATATATATATATATAAGGGGTTCAGATATATATATATAAGGGGTAAACCAGGCGAGCTTCATGGATGGAGGACGGTGTGGATGAAGCAGGGCTGTGAACACCTGCAGGGTGTGGCCCCTTGGGCCAACCCCTGGGGGCTGCCTGGGTGTGTGCAGAGGGTGCTGGTGAAACTGCTGTGCTGAACTCTGGGCAGCTGAGCTGGAGGGAGCACAGGCCCTTGGAGAGGGACTGTAAGGGACGATAATGTCTTCCTCATCCTGCACTGTGCAACAGATTATCTTAAAACTTGCTGGCTTAATTCCACAGCCACGATGGAAGCGCTATCATCTCTCCATCTCTGCGGGTCTGGAGTTCAGGGGTGGCTTGGCTGGCCACGTGTGACTCGGAGTCTCAGGCATGGCAGTCACGGTGGGCTGGGGCTGGGGACCCTTCGCCGTCTGGCAAGCGGGAGCTGGTGACGGTGGGAGCCCTCACTTCTTCCCCCAGCGGTTCCGCCTGGGTGGACTTCCCAGCCGAACGATCCCAGGGAAGGAGCTGTGGTCTCCTGAGGCACCTTCTGTGCATCAGAAGCAAGTCGCTGAGTCTGGCCTACATTCAAGCACAGGGTGTCTAACCTCCACCTTGGAAAGAGAAACATGCCAGACAATTTTTGGACTTATTTCAAACCACCACAGATAATCAGGGTAAGAAGGTTTGCGCAGAGCTCATGGGCCCTCAGGGCTGGTGGGACTCCAAAATTGGAAGATGGAGGGTGGGTTAGACAGAACTCCTGAATGCATTTAAATTTCCTGAGGTTGATATCTGTATTGTGTCCATAAGAAAAACCATTATTATTAGGAATACACACTGAGTATTTAGGGGTGAAAATCCATAATATGTATGGCTCCAAAAATATTACTTGTGTGTGGGTGTCCAGCATATAATCAAGCAAATGAGCAAAATGTTTAAAAGAGGTGAATCTTGGTAAAGGGTCCATATTACTTTTATTCTTGCAGCATTTCAGTAAGTTTGAAGTTTATTTCCATATGTGAAGTTTAGAAAATGTCCCCCTGCTGAGTCCCCTGAATTGAGGTTCACGTGTCCTGTGCCCCCAGGAACTCCAGGGACATGCAAGGCTCTTTCCTGAATATGAGTTAGTTTGTTCCAACCTGCCCGACCCTGGGCTCCAGGCTAAGTGAAGTGTCAAGGAGCAAAGGCAGGCATTTTTAAAAAAAACTCCTTTGTCTTTGTCTCCGCCCAGGACCTCTTTCCCAGGGGAACACTCGCTAGAGGCTTGTTGCATTGGCCAGAGTTGCTTTCTGGCTTCCGGGTGGCTGGTGGCGAGTGCTGCACAGAAGGTGTGAGGTCCAGGTCCTGTCCCTGTCCTGCGGATCTGCTACATGACACTGGCCTCCATATCCATAGGGTGAAGGGTCTGGACCACGGGAGTTTGCAAATTGGGAATCCAAGAGCCTCCTTCCCACAGGTGTGCTTGCCTATACAGGATTTTTTTTTTAATGTTCAATTAGTTGCTGACACTCAACGACCAGGATACTGACATAGAGATTCGGCTCCATCTTCTCTGACCCCACTGGGGTCAGCAACGGGCTAGAGGTGCGGCATGTGCTCTCCTGCTCCTCGCCTGCTCCGCTGTGTGTGTAAGCCAGCTTCCTCGTTCACCATTTCTGCTTTGCCTATGGACTGGAAGATCCCAAAGGGCCTTCCACTCCACACGTCTGGCCGCATCTCATCTCTTCAAGGACTGCATATGTCAATCAGGAGGCTGGATGGCGTGAAGATGGAGGTGAGGAAGCAACTGGAGCCCGGATGAGAACCATCTCAAGCACATTTGTCCACAGAGGGCAGCTTCTGGTTCAAGACCTTGGTGCGCCCAGTGGAGCTCCAGATGGGCTGTGAAGAGCTGGGTCAGGCTGGGACAAAACCGGGGGTTGTGCTGGGACTGAAGGTTCAGAGTGGAGGGTGGAAGAACTGGGGGGGATGCCCAGGGCCTGTGGAGGGACCTGCAACTGACGGCATCACTCGGAAGTCTTGGGGGTCACAGCTGAGGGCAGGTATGACTTGTAGCCAGTAAGTGGATCCTGCAGAGAAAAGATAAACAAACAAAAAAATCAAGGTGTAGTGAAAAGAGCACCGAGCAATCAGCCACCTTCAGTCTGGATCCACCACTTTCTAAAAGTGGGCCTGGGTGTCAGGGCACATGCCTGACTCTGTTACCTGCCCTGCCTACCTCAGGGTTGCGGAGCCCCTGCAGGACCCCAGACAAGGCACTGAGCAACTGTGGGAGCTCTGCCCCGCGTGAGACCAACTCCAGGAGCTATAATTCAGTTTTCAGATGCCTGCTCAAAGTGCACTTTGAGGGCCTGCAACCCACCCATTTAACAAATGGTGGATTTGAGGCCCAGGAGGAGAATGTACATGGCAAGTTTAGGGCAGAGGTGGGCACGGTGCTCTATTAATTTTTTAGTAGAAACCTCTTTGTGCTCCTGCTAGGGGAGAATGTGTGGAACCAAGCCAGGGAGGCAGAACAGGGGCCCCGCTCCAGGGACTTCCTGCTTAGGGAACATGCAGCGTGTCCCATCGTGTCTACTCAGAAGGGACAGCCCTCGTTATGACAGTCCTTAGGTCACAGGAATAAGGAAACATAGTGAACCTTGAGAGTAAGACCCTTTTGTCCCGAGTGAGATGAGGCAAGCCATGGGGAGGAGACCCTCTGTTCTGTTCCCTGAGGGACAGGAGGGACCTGCCCTGAGGAGGGTATGACTTGCCCAGGGTCACACCGCGGGCTCCTGGTGGAACTGGGACTGTAACGGGGTTTCTCAACATGCAGTTCAGGGCTTTTACTCTATCGCCCAGGGGGGATTGCATTTCACTACAAATGACAGGAGACTAAGGTGGCTTACACCAATGGCGGTGTAGTGACTACTGTTGGCTTTAAGAGATAGGGGTTACTTTTCTCACTTTGCAGGGAGCCCAGAGGTGGATGAAGATCAGTGTAGCCGCTGAAGGATGTTAAGGACCTCATCTCCTCCTGTGTTCCTACCCCACACCCTCAGCTCATAGCTTTTGTCCTTAGTGTCTTAAAATGGCTGCTTCACCTCCAGGCATTGTGTCCACATTCCAGGCAGAGAAAAGAAATGCTGCTGAGCTGGTCTTTTTTTAAAGGCTTTACCTGAAATCTCCACCCAGTGAGGCACAGCCTTCCCAGCTGCAAAGGAGTCTGGGAAGGTGAGTGTTTTAAGTGTCTACTCCTAACGTAGGAGGTGGCTGCTTTTGAGCTTTGCAGCATCACTATGCTTCATCCTTTTCGAGATGCAGGAAGAGGTGGGTGCAAGGAGCACCTGCCTGAGTCAGAAATTGGTGGGTGCTACCGCTTTGTTGCGGGTCTTTGACATCCTGAAAAAGCTTTGGGCTAAATGACCCCCAGAGACCCTTCTGGCCTTTAAATTCTGTGACCCTATTCTATTCAAATTCTGATCCACGTAATTGTATTTCCCTCTCCCCATGGAACTCCAACATAACTATTGTAAATAATAAAAATTGGTATGTAAAAATTGTGTGTTTATCTGACAAGCATTGGTGCCAAGAAATTTCAGCCAGAGAGCATCAAGATACTTCCCTATATTTTCTTCTAAAAGTTGTAAAGTTTTATGTTTCTCTATAGAAGCCTTACAAACCTACTGTCAGGTTCACTCCTAGATACCATGTTGATTATATCGTTTTACTGGGGTGAATGGGACTTTTTTCTATCACTTTTTGTAACTGATTCTTGGTATATAGAAATGCTATTCCTTTTTGTATGTTAACTCGGATGAACTCTTATTAATTCTAATAGTTCTATGAAAACTTCCCGTGTTCTATGCAGAAAATCGTATTACCTATGATTTAGGATGCACAGAGGAAATAGCATGAGGAAGGGCCTAAAGGGAAGGTCAGGAAACACAGAAGGCAGATAACGCTGGTCCTAGTGAGAAAGAAGGCAGATGGCAAGGCAGGGCAGAGAGACAGCATCATCGCAGGAGGCCCTGAATGCCGTTCTCAGAATTCGAGGGCAGTGGAAAGCCACCGAGGAAGTCTGCGTTGGAACTGGAGGAAAGTCTCTCTGGTGGGCCATTGGCCTCTGCCAGTCTGTGTCCTGGCCAGCAGTTCGGTCCGATTTTGGGTGAATGAGTTTAACGCATGCTTTTCGTGGGCCATAAAGGCTTGGGTAGCCCGAAAATGTCTTCTTGTGAGCTGGGGCGGCCTCGGGAACATCGCCGCTCTCAGGCATGGGGCCTGGGCGCTGGGGCGCTGGGGCGCTGGGGGCCGTGCCTTGCACCTGCAGCTGGAGGGGTGTTCTTTCCCTCTGGCGGCGCGGGAGCGGAATAAACCCGTGCTTCCCGGAACGAGCTGTCGGGGCAGGTGCACCGCTCAGGGCTGCACCGGGGCGGGGGGCGCCGGGCAGAGCGAACGGAGGAGGGGCCCCCGGCGGCCGGCCGGGGAGCCGCGTGGCGCGCGGGCATCCCCTGGCAGCAGCCGTGGGGGCTCCGGGAGCCCGGCACCGGCCTCCGGTGGCCCGGGGAGCTCCGCGGTCTCCCTGCAGCCCCTGTCCGGGTGGCCCTTCCTGCCGCCCGCCGCACGGAGCTCAGGCCGCAGCCTGGCCGAGGCCACGGGTGCGACCCAGGCCAGCCGTCTCGTCCTCCGCGCGCCCCGGCCTCCTGCCGGCCTGAGCGGCTCGCACACTGAGGGGCCGAGGGCTTCCCGCGAGCTCCCCCGGGATGTGCGTCCCGAGCCCGTTCGGCCGCGGGCGGCGCTGAGGCCCCCGGAGGCAGCTGGCGGCCGCACACTCGTGTTCACCGACCCGGCGGCCGCGCTCAGCCTCCGGGGCCTCAGCGCCGCCCGCGGCCAGCGCAGCCCTTTCCGGGGCCGGGTCACCGGCGGGAGGCCGCGCGGGAGCCCGACCGGAATGTCGTCGGGCTGCATTTCACCAGAAGAAGGAGACTTGAAATCACCTCAGATATAGTTCGTTTAACCAGATGTATCTCACCCTGTACTCAATTACCGCCGCGTCATCAATATGGCAATCACAATGCGCTACTGCATGTGTGTCGGTCCAAGTCTGAGGCACCCGGCCCTCCCAGCCTTCCGGCGACGCGGGCCCGCGCCCAGGGCAGCGCTGCCGGCGCGGCCGGGCTCCACCAGGAAGGGCCTCCTCGGCCAGCCGGGCGCCGCGGCGCAGGGAGGAGGGCGGCCGAAGCCCCCAACGGCCCCCGTTCGCTCAGCGGCCGCGGCGGGGCCGAGGGGGCGGGGCCAACGCCCATTGACCCGCCTCGGCCCTCTGCCCGCCCCCGCAACACGCTTATTGGCCAGGGCGGCGCCCGCGGGGTAGGCGGCGGCGGCGCCCCGCCCCGTCGCCTGCCCTTGAGAGGCGACGAGGAAGCGGCCGCCCCCCTGCGCCCCGCCTGCAGCGCGCTTGCGGGCCGGCTTTCCCGGCTCCTCCTGGCTTCTCCCGGCCTCCCCGGCGCTCTCGTGCTCCCGGCTCCCGTCGGCGCTCTCGTGCTCCCGGCTCCGGCCCCGGCGTAGCGGCGGTGGGTAGGCGCAGCGGCAGGCGGGCCCGGTGGAGGGGCGGTGTTCTCACGGCCCCAGGACCCCGCAGGGCCCGCCCGGGGCGGGGAAGGGCGGCGGCCGGGGGGCGCGGGGCTCCGCCTCGGGACGGCGGGCGGGGCCGAGCCTGGGTGCGGCGGGCGTGCAGAGCTGACGGTCGCTCCGGGGTTGTGCGGTGGGTCGAGGTGGGCCTCAGCGGGCGCAGGGGCCCCGGGCGGGTGTGGGGAGGCCGGGCGGGCGCGGGAGGCCCGGGGGGTGCGGGGAGGCCGGGCGGGCGCGGGAGGCCCGGGCGGGCGGGGGGCGGCGCTGCAGCGGGCCCTCCGCGAGAGCCTTCCCAGGCGCGGCGTGGCACCACGGGCTGTGGGCTCTGCGGCGTGTCTCTCGGCCCAGGAAGGGGGCGACAGCGCACCGCAGAGGCGGGGCAGAGGCCGGGCGTGGCGGGGCGCAGCTGCCCGGGCCGAGCGCGGGGACGCAGAGCGGCTATTTTTGTGCGCCGCCGGAGTGCGAGCTGAGCTCCCGGATTTGGAGGGAGCAGTTGTCGCGCCCCGGCGGTGGCGGGGTGGCTGTTTGGGAGACAACGGCGGAGTTGCTAAGCGAGAGACTGAACGGCTTGGCCGGTGCTTGGAGCTTTCTGGCTTTGCTCTTGCGACTCCAGAGTTGACATCCCTCCTCGGGGTGTCTCTTAAATCGGTGTGGCCCGATGGTCCTCATTACCTTTTCAAAGGAAGTGTTTTCACCTGTGTTATACTTTTCCTTTCAAACTTGGCTTAAAAATTATAAAGCTGTCACCTTTTGATCATCTTGAGGCCGAGTTGTAGACATTCATTTACAGGCGAGCAAACCGAGACTGACAGGAGTAAGGTGAGGTCCCACGGATCGTTAAGTGGCGGAGTTGGCATTACGCGCAGGCCTCTCTGGCCCCGCACAGTAGTTTTAGGTTCACGCGGGGTGACTCGGCGCCTGAGAATACATTCGTGCAGAATGAACTCACCAGACTGGTAAAAGGGCCACCTGAACTTACCGAAGGTGGGAAGTGCCACGTGCACAAGTGGAATTAATTGTCCACTGGCCGGGACACCCCCATTGTTTCCGGGCAGCCGTCAGGAATGAGGAGGCAGAGGATCCCAGAGGTAGAACTAAGGGCACCGCTTGGGTGCGGGCGATGTTTCAGTCTAGCCGCAGAAGTCTGGTGAGTCTCTCCTCTCTCCCCATTGCACCAGCTGGCATACAGTGTTTCACAGTGCTGGGGGATTTCACACGTTTTGCCACTATGTTTTTAAAAAGCATATCTTGGTATATTTGTCATCCTAGCAATTTACCTGTATTAAAATTCCCACTTTGCAAATAAGGTTACATTATGTATTGAAAAGTCATTTTTCCATTGTTTGCTGACAGTGAATGAAATGCTGGATCTTCATAAGTCTAGGTGGCTTGTTCTTATTTTTATTTTTTTGAGGTTATGAAGACTTACTAATTACATAATACTGCTTTCATGGGAAAGTAGGACAGCTTTCTCAAGATTGTTCAAAACAGCTTGAGGATGTAAAAGATACCGGATTTTTGGTTATGGAGTGGGGTTGGAGATTGGTCCCCTGTGGGAAGGGGCTTGTGTAGTTTGAATGTCTCACCTACATCAAGTTGGGTGCTTGTTAGTCAGCGAGGTGGTGCTTCCTGGTCTTGGCGTCTTGTTCTTTTTCCTGAATTTGGTGAGCCATTCTTGGGCTCTGCAAACTTTGCTGTTGAAACTTTGAATTTTTGGCGTTGGTACCTTCTTTCCTTCTCCTCCTTCTCCTCCTCCTTTTAGATATGCATGGGTAGTTGATGTGTAGATTTGATATTTCCTTAAAAAGCAAGAAAATCTGAAAGGAACATTTTGACCCAATGGAAGTCATCTTGGCGGTTCGTTTGATTTGGTCACTTTAATAAGGAAATCAAGTAAATACCACTGATTCCACTTAGTCCTAAATGGCACTTACAGAGCCAGGTTACTGTGGGCTCACTGCTGGGAGTGAGTGTGTGAGCACAGTTCTGGTCTAGCAAGGGGATACAGCTAACTGATAACCCCACCTTCTGAGAGCTCTTTAAGCTGGTCTCTCCACACAGACTTTGTGGGAACTGTTGTGTATGGCATTACAATTTTAAGTTTGAAGGGCAGCCCAGTTTACTTATGTGATTCTTTGTAGGTTGAAAGTTAATCTTGTCAACATAAGACCCATCTTATTAGTTTGCATGTATTTATATATTTTTTGAAATTTAAAACTTTTCTTCATTTTTTTATGGCTTTACAAGGAAAATTCAGTTTTCTTTTTGAAAATAGTTTTAAAACCTTTTATTTTGAAATAATTGTATATTTACCAGAGTTGTAAAGATAGTACAGAATTTCACCTTCATCTAGCTTTCCTTAATAATGTCTTATATAACCACAAGTTTATAAAAATGAAGAAATCAGTATTAGTTTAATATTTATTATTAATTAATATGTATTAATATTAATTAACCAAATTACAGATTTTCCTCTGATTTCCCTAGTTTTTCCACACCGATTCCCTTTTTCTATTACAGGATTAATTCCAGAATACTACGTTGCATTTAGATGTCATATTCTCTCAATTTCCTCCAGTCAGTCAGTTTCTTGGTCTCTCCTTCCCTTTCTTTCTTTGTCATCTTTGAAGAGTGGTGGTCAGTTATTTGTAGAATGTTCCTGAGTCTGGATTTTCTGACGGTTTCTCATGATCAGCCCGGAAGTTACTCATGTCAGGGAAGAACGCCCTGGAGAAGGTATGCCCTTCTTATCATATCATATCAGGGGATGCCTGATAGGAACACGACCTGTCACTGATAGATTAACTTTGATAATCTAAGGTAATGCTTGCCTGGTTTCATTGAAGTGACTATTTATCCATTTCCTTACATTATTTCTTAGAAGCTAGAAATGAGTCACTGTTTCTGGACCACACTCCAGGAAAAGGAAATTAAGCTCCATCTCCTGAAGAATTTGTGAGCATATGTTAAAACTGCCCACAGTAATTCACATTTTGGGGGAGATTCTATGAGGCTATACAAAGGTCTGATTTTTTCCTTAAAGTTTCATCCACTAATTTTACCATTTATGGGTGAAATTTGCCTACAGCAGCAATTATTATTGTGTAATTCTAGTGGTGATTTTCTATTACCCTCATTCCTTCTACTTTTATTTTGGGAATTCTTCTGGTAAGGAAGATTTGTACCTTTCTCCCTATTTACTTATTCATTTATATCAACATGGATTCATGAATATTTGTTTTTTTTTCTTTAGGTTGTAATCCAGTGCTACGTTTTGTTGTTCATAGTCTTTCAGCTTTCGTCATTTGGCACCTCTGTTCTTTTGACATTTGCCTTTTTTTTTTTTTTTTTTTTTTCAAGCAGTTTTTTACTTTCTGGCACTCCAAGATGCTCGAACCTCATCTTGTGTTTTCTCTGCCTCAGCCCTAGAATCATCCACTTCTCTAAGAAGCCCTGGTTTCTTTTATTGGAGAAAGATATTTAGAAAGCAAGAAACCAAGATATGCTTTCTAAATGAACTGGGTATGCTCACTGCTACCGGGATATCACTGCTTCTAGGCCCTCTTAGTGGACAGAGCTAGGAAATGTGTGTATGTATGCATACTTACATAGGTAGTCACACATATCTGTTTATCTTTGTATCCATCAGTATCAAGCGTGAGTGCATACTATCTTTCTGGTCCTGATTCAGTCCCGCAGAGTTCATCCCAGCATTCCCTTCCTTGCCTATTTGTAACTTCTTTCTCTGACAGTGAGAAACTTTACTACTTTTTTGTAATAGATTTACTTATTTGTTCAACCTTAGTATGTGTAGAGTAGGACAATGCACTTTTAATTGTCACATAAATTCTAAAGCATTTTGCAGTTGTTAACTATTGAAATCATATCCCTGTAATACTGGTATTTTAAATGACTATTTTTCAGTTCAGGTGGAGAAGTGAAGTCATTTGCCTGTGGCCAAACAGGAGGTGAGTGGCTGTAGCTGGAACTGACGACCTGTTCTCACTCCCAGAGCTTCTGTCATCCCAAGCAAAGCACAGTCCCTTCATATCAAGTATCTTGGCTATCAAGTCAACCTTTGTCTCTTCTTGGTGGGATTGCTCCTTTTAATTAAAGAAGTTCCTGGTTTTGGATTTTTAAAGAAAATTTTTGGCTGAGCAGGTTGGGAACAAGAATAATTCCTTTCTGGACTTCTTCCAGAATACTTGTAGAGTCATAGAATTGGAAGAGATCTCAGCAAAAGTCCAGTGCAGTTTTTTGCACAATGTAGGTGACTCTTCCAGCCCTCTGTGCACAAGATATTCCCCAAGATAGGGACTTCACAGCTGGTGGCTACCAAAAATTTGCAAAGTTGTTATTTCAGAAAGATTTCCCTGGTAATGATATCAAAGCTGCCTCCCTGCATTTTTTATTCACTGGTTCTAATTTTGCTGTCTGCAGTTACTCCTGCTAGCTCCATTCTCTACTTTACAGCTATTCTGTGACGGTCCCACTTAAGTTTTTCCTTTTCCAGACTAAACAGTTTCTTCTGTGCAGACATCTCTTACAAAATACACTTTCTAACCTTTTCCTGTGTTGGGCATCATTTTGTGGGCATGCTGCAGTTT